TCAAAGAACTCAGCTCCAACTGGAAAAGATAGATTCAAAAAGACCTGAGTGCAGATGGGGAAAAAAAACTATTTACTTGGGCTTTAGCACATTGCAAAGCTCAGCAATCTTGAAATTCTCCTTCTGTAGCTCTTGAGACACCTACTGTTCCTCTCTGGTCCTTCTCCGGTTTTAGCAAACTCTCTTTTTCTGACTTCTTTTACTCTACCAAAATGTAACATGCTGTGTTTCCCAATCATTTCTTTTTTACTCAGCATTCCCTAGAAGAGTGTTCTTTTCCCATGCTTCACTTCATATAACACACTTTAAATATTAATATGACCCTTACACTATATATCCAGCCCCAATTGTTTTTGAATTCTAGTTTTATTCTCCAGCTGCAGTCTATGGTCTATTGATACTTTCACATTCAAAATATCCCAAAATTGGGATCATTATCTTTTCTGTTTCTCTCCACTAGTTGCTTCTCCTAGTAGCTACCTTTGAAATAAGTCAACCAGGTCCTCATATTAGAAAACTTTGTCCAAAATCACTAAATCCTATAAATTTCCAGTGCTATTTAAACTTTAATTCATTCCTCCTCTCCAAATCCTCTGCCACTTGCCTAATTCAGTCCTTATAATAAAACTTGACAAGCTGGGGACAATCTTTGACCTTAGGGAGATCACATTCTGATAAAGGAGTTGGACATGCAGACAATTACAGTATAATTATAATATAAATATATTTACAAAGTACTTACAAAGTATGGATCACAAAGGAAAAAGCAATTAAGACCAGTGGTATGTATGATACAGACAGTCTTTGATAGCTTTGATGAAGAAATTATGTTTGAGATGGATCTTAGATGATGAGTAGGGGAACTTTTGATACAGAAGGGAGACAAGGATATCACAGAAAGTACAGCTTATGAAAGGCTAAAACAGACCAGACCACAGTTGAGAAGTGTTGTTGGAAATGAGGCTTTAAAGAAAAGCTAAGACCAGATTGTGAAGGGTCTTATATGCCAGGGTAAGGAGGCTATACTTAATTTTGGAGAGAGGAGGGAGGCTTTAAGTGATGTGCCATCAGGAGTTTCCATTTTAGAAAGATAAATTTGCTATATCTGAAAGGAGTTCCAATAGTTCCCAACTTTAGATATGCCTCCTCAGCAGGCACCTGGGAACACTGGGGACATTATTTGTATGTCACAATGACTGAGGGATCCTACTGGCATCTAGAAGGGGAAATCCAAGCATATTTATGTTCTTACTGCATGGAGCAGTTTCCCAAAGTGAAGACCATCCTTCCCCAAAAGCCAGTGGGATGCCTATTGGGAAACAATGAATTGCTAATTTAGTCAATTTTTAGTAAACATTTATTATTTTTTTCATAGACAGATCATTTAAAAAATTTTCCTCACCTAGTATTAAAAATAACCAGGAACAAATCCTTATTCAGTAAGCTCGGGAAGTAGTAAAAAAAAAAATACTGCCCAATTGGAGAGGGTTCCACTTCGAGTGATGGCCAGGTAGCCCTTTCAGACCAACCCTCCAACAGATGAAATCACAAACTCTGGACGAAATATAAAAATCAACTACCTGAAAGTAATGAAAAACAACCCCAAATGGGCTGATACTGCCGGGAAAGAACACTTGGAAGAAGAAAATAGCATTGGGTGAGTTTTCCATTTTTATAGTTCTTAGCCTGAGGGCAGTCCCCATTCTGCATCATGGGAGCATATGAACCACAGGATAGAGTTTGGGACAATGGAAGCTGCTGAAAATAGAGAAATAATGGCAAGGAAAGAACCGGTGACCAAGCCCTAAATTCTGTGTATGAATTCTGCCCCAAACTCTTGGCTTGCAGCATTAATGCACAGGAAAGATTCCCAGTAAAGCAGCCAGGTTGAAGAACTGAACTGAGGACTGAGCTACCACCAACTGCAGAGGAGCAAGAGCTTGCAATGGGAGTTCAGCCAAATCAACTGCCAACGTAATGAACAGTCTTCAGAGTAAATTATCAGAATCCAGGGTTTCTACATTTTATTCACCATGTGCAGCACAACATCTAAATTACTAACATATGAAGAAGCCAGAAAATATTTACAAAAGAAAAGACAATCAAAGACTGCCACTGAGATGATCTAGATATTGACATGAGCAGAAAATGAGTTTAAAGTTTTATAACTATGCTCAAGATTGGAAGGGAAAATGTCCTTGTAATGAATAAAAAGATAGGAAGTCTCAGCACAGAATATGTTATAAAAACTAAGTGGAATTTCTAGAACCACAAAATACAGTAATTGGAAAAAAAAAGTTCTTGGAATGGGTTTAAAAGAATGATTACCAGGGATTTAGTGAACTGGAATAAAGATCAAGAGAAAGAATCCAATTGAAAAAAAAGGAAAAAAATTATTGAAAATATCAACAGAGCCTTACAAACCCGTGAGACGACATCAAAAGGTCTAGCATATGTATAATGAAGGAAGAAAGAAAATTAGGCTGAAAAACTATGACAAAATAAAGCAGTTAGAGGAAAATGACATTATTATGCATGGTGGGTAGGGGAGACAATATGAAAACTTCTGACTTCTCATAGGAAGCCATGGAGACCAGAAACAGTGGGAAAATGTCTTTAAAGTGCCAAAGGGGAAGGGGGGAACTGTTAACACAGAATTATATATTCAGCAAAAATATTCTTCAAGAAGGAAAATAAAATAAAGACATTTTTATATAACAAAAACTATGATACCTAACTAATTGCCAGAAGACCTGAACTGTAGTAGATATCAAAGCTTTTCAGGCTTCAATGAATACTATTATAAGGAAACTTGGAACTTCAGGAAGGAATAAGAGCATTAGAAATGATAGTGTGGGTGAATATAAGTATTTTTTTCTTAATTTATTTAAAATATATATGATGGTTCAAGCAAACTATACCATTTTATTGTGGAGTTTATAACATATGCAATATGTAAGATATATGACAACTATAAGATAACAAGTAGAGTAATGGGGTAAACATGGCTATTTGGTTACGAAGCGTTTATATTTTATGTGTAGCGGTGCAATAGTAACTATAAAGAGGCTTTGTGGAGTTGCATATCTGGATATGGGTTTGGTTTACACAGGTGTATATGCATTTGCGAAGACTCATTAACTAGTACACTTAAGATTTATGCATTTTATTAAATATACATATTACCTAAAAAGAAAAAAACACTACAAAATTGATCTCTAGCTAATGATATGCAAGTTGAAGTCTTCAGGAATGAAGTGTATTGCTGTCTGAAACTTATTTTGACTTGTATCAAAACAGTAAGACGGGTTGATTGATGGATAGAGAGATGGGTAAATATGTGGTAAAGTCAATGCAGTAAAATTTTAATTGTAGAACCTAGTTAGGAGTATACAGGCATTCTCTGTAAAATATTTTAACTATGTTTGAAAATTTTCAGAAGAAAATGTTGAAAAAATAATACTGCCCATCTATATTTATAATCAGATCAGGGTGAAAAAATAAAACATGAAGAAAAAATTGAGAAAAGGAAGATACAAAAAATAAATATATATATATAGTCAAACTAAAACAGAGGCTGAGAAAACCAAATGGTAAGGGAAAGACAGTAAAGGAAAAAACAAAGAAGAAAAGATAGAAAGAGAGAAATACAGCGAGAAGGCAAAGTGTCATTCACTGGAAAAACAGGAACGATAATAAATAATATGTTATCACTACTCTTTGTCTTTTGGAAATTTCATATGCTAGTTTTGAAGTTAATAAATTAGTCTTGAAGTTAAAAATTAAAATTATTTTGTCATGGAATTCAAAAGTATTTACTGGTGAAAATTATTATAATATTTGCTTCAGAATCTTAGAAATTGTTTACTATCAGTAAAAGTCCCTTTGACTTTCAAAAGTTGTTTATCTTCTGTTTTGCCCTTGAGAATTCTGTAGTACATCATTCAGTTGTAATATTGATTTAGGGCAAGATCTGGAAGGAAGCCAGGGTTCCACACTTCTAGTAGGAGTTTCTACTCCTCCAATTCCTCCTAGTAAACTAGCAGCTCTACCCATCACATAGTGCATCACTCCAAAGCTAATGCTTTTCATTTAGAGGTATTGCCAGGGAACTTCTGACTTACCATGTAAATATATTGTTGTTTATCATTCCAACGTTGTGTCATAATTATTAAATAACTGTTAATTAAGATATATTTATACATTTGCTCTCCATAAAGCAGTATTTATCCTCTCATTACCCACTCATGTAACATCTGTGAAGGCAGAGCCCATGTCTAGGTATCACTAGTACCTAGCATTTCTAAGCATGTGGAAGACCCTTGATAAATATTTACTGAATGAATAATGTTTACTATCATTCACAATATACCTTTCTCAACGGATTTTGAACAGATATCATCAAGATTAGAATAGTAAGTTTTGACTAATTAGTTCAGATGTAAGTTCTAAAAGTGGAAATCTTAATTGTAACATATTTTGCTCTCTTAACTGACTTATTGAGACTAACCTAGAAGTATAAAAATGAGAAGTTACTGATATGTGGTGTACAAAACTGAAACAAAGGAACAAGACAAACACATGAAGAAACAAAAACTCATAGACACAGACAATAATTTAGTGGTTACCAGAGGGTAAGGGGGGGATGGTACATGAGGGTAAAGGGGGTCAAATATATGGTGATGGAAGGAAAACTGACTCTGGGTGGTGAACACACAATGTGATATACAGATGATATATTACAGAATTGTACACCTGAAACCTATGTAACTTTACAAACTATTGTCACCCCAGTAAACTTTAATTAAAAAAAAAATGAGAAGTCAAGTGATTCACTTATATTATAAAAAGAAGTGTCTCTTTTGCATAGTAACAAATCAATACTCTTTTCAAAGTTCAAAGGAAAGAGAAGCTGGTATTGGTTTCTGTCAAAGTCAGATCCAACTTTTACAAAGACAGTAATAATCTCAGTTCAGAATCAAATAAATTTCAGAACTCAGTTTGAGAGAAAAAGGAAAGGCTTTAGTTAAAATCTTTACAATAAAATAATTATGATTATAAATCTCTTTAGTTAAATATGTACACATTACATGGTATTTTTAAAAAGAATGGAAATGAATAAAGTTTTTCAGGCAAATCTAATGCACAAATATACCATCTTTTAGAGTATAATGTCAGTTTAACATTCTTAAACAGCTGTGTCAGACAATGGCTCTGCTTTGTGCAAAACATGATAAGTAAAATTAAGAAAAATTCTTTAGTTCCTCAAGGAAATTGTTATACTAAAAAAACCAGTAAAAGAGAACAATGTTGTACACTCAAGCTTGATTGTATACAGAGGCTAGAATGACCAGCACTAATGTAACCCCCATATCTGCTAAACAAGTCCTTGGGTAGCTTTAGTTTGAAGTTAAAAGTTGAAGTCTTAACAATTGTGCTTTTACGCAGCCACATGGCCAATAAGGTAGATGTTGTCATAAAGGTGCCCTACAAAATCTTCACTAATGTTTTGAGCAGCGCGACGGGTGTTTCGAATAAATTCTCGCTTTGACATTTTATTCTTCACATGAGGGCTAGTGAGGTCAATGGAAAGTAGAATCAGAGAGTAGCACAGTACATAGACAGCATCTGGAAGGAAAAAGAAATACTTCAAAAAATGCATTTTATCATGCAAAAATGTTCATAATTTCAAGGTACCAAGATTAAACCATAACTAAACATACGATGATCAATCCATCCCAGTTTGCATGGGCCTTTCCTAGTTTCAGCATTGAAAGGTCCGTGTCCTGGGGAACTCCCTAGTCCGGCAAACAGGGATATGGTTGATCATCCTAACTGAACACCAATTCAGCGAGCATTTTCTTCAATTCAAAAGAACTTTAGTTCAGGATTGTATAGTGAAAACTCATTCAAAATTTTAAAATTTTATAATTGGCTTTATTTTCATCTTGCTTTCAAATGTGATATCCCCATTCAGATCTCCATAAAAACCATTTGTACTGTCAGTATATCTATCTTCCCATTGAAAAGTCACATATTTATTTACGCATGATTTTACAAAACCCTAATTTAATTTGAAAACATCTTTAATGACAAAGAAAATGTATTAACTTGGTACTAGAAAATAAAAGGTAAACAACTCATAAAATTATTAAATTAGGGGCCGGCCGAGTGGCGCGATGGTTAAGAACTGGCTTGGGACACCAGAGGGCCCTGGTTCGGATCCCACATATGAGGGCCAGTGACACTGCCCTCCACAGCTAGGATGCTGAACAACAGCTCAACCTGGAGCTGGGCTGCCATGAGTCACTGGCGACGGCGTAGGCTGCAGCCCCTGTGGCAGTGGATTGCCATGGGCTACCGTATGCAGCCAGCAGCCAGCGTGAGCCAGCAGCCAGCATGAGCGGCCAGCAATCGCAGTGAGTGGCCATCCAGAAGCTGACGACTGATCTGCCTCACCTGGGAAGAGCACAATGATGGTGCCAACTTGGGCCAGTGGAGCAACGTCCTCCACAACTAGACTGAAGAACAAAACGACAGCAACTTGTCTGTTCCCCTTCCCCCAATTCCCCAGCACTGTTCCCATCCCCCCAATTCCCCAATAAAAATCTTTTAAAAAATTATTAAATTAATATTATTTGAGATATTTATTTTAAACGTCTGTGGAATTTATATACTAATCTCCAAAGTAAATTGCTAGGAAAAAAATTGCTCAAGTTGAGCATCATGCAGCAACAGAAATATTTCTTCTTAAAATCTTCTCTGAATCCAAGGTTCATAAGTTTAGTACTTGTTTTCTTCTATGCAATTATTGTTTCAGGTCTTATGTTTAGGTCTTTGATTCATTTTGAGTTAATTTTGGTACACAGTGACAGATAGTCTAGTTTTATTCTTTTGCATGTGGTGTTTCAATTTTCCCAGTACCATTTGTTGAAGAGGCTTCTTTTTCTCCATTTTATGTTTTTGGCTCCTTTGTCGAAAATTATCTGCCCATATATATGTGGGTTTATTTCTGGGTTCTCAATTCTATTCCATTGGTCTCTGTGTTTGTTTTTCTGCAAATACTATGCTGTTTTGATTACTGTCACTTTGTAGTATAAACTGAAGTCAGGGAGTGTGACACCTCCAGCCTTGTTCTTTTTTCTTAGGATTGCTTTGGTTATTTGGGGTCTTTTGTGATCCCACACAAATCTAATGCTTTTTGTTCTATTTCTTGATAAAAAATACCATTTGGATTTTGATGCGGATTGCATTAAATCTGTATATTACTTTGGGTAAAATGGCCATTTTAACTATGTTTATTCTTCTAATCCATGAACACGGAATATCTTTCCATTTCTTTGTGTCTTCTTCAATTTCTTTTAATGATGTCTCATAAGATTAGAATGGCTATTATCAATAAGACAAGTAATAACAAGTGTTGGAGATGCTGTCGAGAAAAAGGAACCCTCATACACTGCAAGTAGGAATGTAAATTGTTATAGCCACTATGGAAAACAGTACTGAGGTTCCTCAAAAAATTAAGAATAGAATTACCATATGACCCAGAAATTCCTTTTGTGGGTATCTACCCCAAAAATCTGAAAACATTTATCCTTAAAGATATATGTACCCCTATGTTCACTGCAGCATTATAAACGATGGCCAAGGCATGGAAACAACTAAAGTGTCCTTTGATAGATGATAAAGAAGATGTGGTATATACAGAAGGTGCCCCCCAAAATGGACACACATTTTAAGAAAGGAAAAAATTATTAAAACTGTAATACTCAATATATACCAATAACAAAATATGAATACAAGTCGTGTGTATGCATTTTTTGGTACCCCCGGTATATATAATGGAATATTACTCAGCCATACACAAAGATGAAATACTGCCATTTGTGACAACATGGATAGATCTTGAGGTTATCATGCTGAGCAAAATAATTCAAACAGAAAAAGTCGAGAACTATATGACTTCACTCATATAAAACTGAAAACAACAAACAAATAAACAAGACAGACAGACAGACAAAGAAACAAAAATTCACACACAGACAACAGTTTAGTGGTTACCAGAGGGTAAGGGAATGGGTGGTAGATGAGGGTAAAGGGGGTCAAATATACAGTGATAGAAGGAGAACTGACTCTGGGTGGTGAACACACAGTGCGATATATAGATGATGTATTACAGAAATGTACATTTGAAACCTATATAATTTTCCTAACCAATGTCACCTCAATACATTTAATAACAAAATTTCTTTATATATATACTCAAGGCAATAGTTGATGTTTATTATTGAAATAGTAACAAAACTCAAGATACTTGCTACAACTGCTTGCTACTACTATCATGTTTATATTTCAGAATCTTGCAGTCTTAATAAAGCTAATTAACCATTATGTCTTATAAAAGCACGTTCAACAAATTTTGTATGATAGGTAAATGTTTTATAATCTCTGCATCGTAAAATAAACACAATAAAATTTTTTATATGAAGGGATAAAGCTACACCACATGAAAAAACATGTGATTCAGACTATATTACACACACATATATACAATCACATATATACACAAACAACAAACAATGAGCACTAGTTGTATTAAAACACATTTGGGTAGAAAAATTCTAGGTGTTATGTAATATGTAGATTATTAAAAGCTTTAAAAATAATTTATCAAGTTTTTAGTTAGACTAGTAAAAATATCCAATGCTCAAACAAGAATAATTTTAAAGAATTTATAGAGCTAAGTCTAACTTTCCTCCTAATACAGTATATTAACCATATATAAATGATAGCTATGATAAACTAAAGTAGTCACTGCTACTAGCAGTAAAACAAGTATTTGTAATTTTTCCCCATGGTGAGAAAAATGTCTCATAAAGTACTATTTTTACCTAGAGGTGGGAGTGGAAGAAGGAAATGAAGAATTCACTACATATATTCTTACCAGGACTAAGGCCAAGTTCTCTCATTAAATCAGGGTTACAAGCACAGAATCTATGTGAAAACTTTGTTATAAGAGTTTCAAGATATTCCCCACGCTCTTCAGGGGCATGGATATGACGAAAAAATTCTCTCAGTGCATTGGGTAAGAATTGATTTCTAAAATTATGCAGTGTTACAAGGTCATCCAAGACATCTCTCCTATTAGAAAAAGAAAAACACACAGGTTTAGTTAACTTTTCTCTATTAATTGTCATTTTTTGGGTAAAAACACTTTATTATTGATTACCAGATCAGCTAATCCTATAAAGTACACATAATTCTTAAAATAAGAAAAACCCCAAATATGATTATGTAAGGAATTAAACAATTTAAAAATATTTCATGAATAGAATAAACAAGATGAAACTAGTAATTCTAATTATAAAATGAAAATAATGAACTTTTCAGTATAAAGAAGGGCACCTTCTTTTTAAATGACTTGGCTAAATTCAAATAAGAAACAGAATTCTTTTTTTTTTTAATTGTGAAAATGAGTCTTTACTTTCCATACCAATCCACATCACCAGAGTTGACTGTTTATGCAGACTTTTAAAAATATCTACATATACTATATAATGTTCTAGAATTTTCTTTTGCTTATTTCACATAGTATATTGTGAACACCTTTCTATGTCTTTATACAAAGATCTAACTCATCATTCTTTTTAATGGCTTCACAGTATTCCATCTTACGGGTGTAATAATTTTAATGATACACATAAAGGTTATTTATAATTATATAAATATTTATGAATGTGTGTGTGTGTGTGTGTGTGTGTGTGTGTGTGTGTAATCAACAGCATTCTAACAAATGGTCATACTTTGTTATAAATGCTTCAATCCTTACTAAACTAAACCATGATTATATGATTATAATCTTTAATTTCTACCAGTTGCTTATAGAAGGGAGAGGTAAACTGTAGCTAGTGGAGCAAATATGGCCCACTGCTTGCTTTTGTAAATAAAGTTTTATTAGGACACAGACATTCTCATTTGTTTATGACTGTCTATAAACAAATAGACAGACTTGAATGACAGACAAATAGACTACTTGAATGACACAATGGCAGAGTTATAAATAGCTGTCAAAAGATCATACAGCCTGTAAACCCTAAAATATTTACAGAAAGATCTGGTTCTTTATAGTAAAACTGCTGATTCCTAGGTACCCAGCATATAAAGATAAAAAGACTTAATGACACCATCTTTATGTAAGAGATTTCCTTGAATAACCAGTATGTTACACTGTAAATTCCTTAAAAACAGGGATTATGTTTTAATCAACTGCATACTCCTACTCTCTAGCAAAGTTCCTAGAATATGAACACAGATTGCTGTTGAAAAATCCTGAGAAATAAGAAAGACTGAAAATTATAATAAAAAGGCAAACACATTTTTAAGCCATTCATTAAATTAGTATGAAAGCAATAATTTAAAAAATGGTAGTTCAGTAATGTCACATCAAAATGTTGTCCCAATACTTTCATGTCCATTGATAACCATAATTAAACTACAAATGAATGACAATCAAGTCAGAACAGCATACAAGGCATCATGTCTATCTGTGTAAAACATACTATTAAATGACACATTTCCAGAATTTTCAAAGTTCTACATGACATTTTTGTGTAATATCTATATACAAATACACACATATCTCCAGGATTTGTGAGTTTATAATTACAATTTGTCTATTTGTTTTTTATATGGAGAATTTCAGAATTCAGAACCTTTAGTTACCCAAACACTTAGATTTTATGGCTAGTTATTAAGAAAAAGGGCTTGCAGCTTCCTCAAAAAGATTTGGTTTTGGTTTGCTATTACAAAGACGTTGGGCTTCCATTTTGCATGTGTGTGTGGGGTTTTTTTTAAACTTCTATAATAGTAACTTCATTACCAGCAAATTAAAGCTCGCAAAAAAATAATAATAATAATTTGTAAATACAGGAATCCTTTCCCTGTCTTTACTCAATTTTGCAACTAGATTAAGTGCTATGTAGTATAGTTTTTAAAGTAAAAATTATGTCCTTAAAGGCATTACTAATGAAAACTCAAATTTTTTTTTACCTTTCATCAAGATAGATTCTTAGTTTTTTCCAATTTAGTGTTCTTGTACAGAAGATAAACTTTGCTATTTCCTTTGGTGAATCATCTAGGATACCCTTGGACATAAAGTAGTTCACTCCCTAAGACAGAAAGACAAATCTCATAAATAAAATCAGTTTTTATTTATAAATTTAACAATTAGGCAACAGCAGAACAATAGCCATAAATTCTTTCCAGCATTAATAGACTTTTTATAGCTTTAACATGCAAAATACAAGCTAGAACTTGAACTGAAACTATTATTTGTAGTTGATAGTTTACATGCAATGAAAAGTAGGAAATTCAAAGTTAAGACTCCTAAAGAAATCCTACTTCAAATTTCTAATTCATGGCAGTTAAAACTATGCAGAAATAACGCCTAAATGGGAGGCAGGAGTTGGAGAGTGGAGGGAGAAACTACTATATAGACATTAAAATAAGCCTTACAACAAATATTCCTGCTGCCTAACAGAAACATGATTTCTTAAAGCTCAGATACACATTCTAATACACTTTTCAAGGAAAGAAGTTATTGAGAAAAAAAGACTCTCCAAATGAAAGACTAACAACTTTATTCTGAAAAAAATAATTAAATTATTCAACTTAAAGTGGGCACAATTCCTGGCCAGTTTATGGGTTGTACATACTCTGGCTTTAAGCATTGCTATATTCTACAAGAATTTAGCTCCAAATACACATTGAGGCAAAACATGAGACAAAACAATTTCAATGTTTTTCATAGGATTTATCTTTGAATTTCCTTTTTTCTGCATGCAAAGTTTTCCAGAGAAGCACTACCCATAAATTTGTACCTACTTTAGATTTAAATCAACAACAAAACATCAACAAAAAAATCAAACACTGAAACCAATGTTTTCTCATGTATATGAAGGTCACATTCAAATAAATGCCTTACGTGGATTTGAATGTGCAGTTATTGAAATAAAGGGCAGGTGTGTTTATTTCAACTCACAGTTATCCAGATAAATGCATTCCCATGAATGCTTATGTCTGGATAATAGCACACTGTGTGCAGTTAATTGGTAAAGAAAATGACATATTATATACATCCAACAAACTGTTTTCACACATAAATTCCTTTAGCATTTCTTCCCTTTACAAACACTTACATAGTACTCAGAAATATTGCACACATTAAGAATTCAAAAAAGTTGTAAGAATTTTTATAAAAGACTCTTAAAACTCTCTCATAAAATTTTTATATTAAAAAAATTTTAAAAGCAATTTGGTACCATGAGGTAATGCTTTTGAAAGGTTATAATTATCTGTAAGTTGTATTTCAAAGATAAGATATTTTATAGAAAATTGTATGAGCCATCAGGATAACATCCTAATAGCAGTGTTATCAAATGCTCATGTGAATTTTAATCACACAAAAGCAATCCTAAAGCGCTGATTTTAAAAATGTATGTAAAGAACAGAATGTGATATCATGAAACTTCTTGTCAACTCAATTGTAAGCTGTATTTCAGGTTGCATCCTGGATATCAGGCTAGAAAATGTAACATGATCAAGATGGAGAGCCAAAGAGCTTGTTTGGAATGAGGCTCTCAGCAGCTGTCTGAGGGGGGCAGGGACTAGAGCTATAGGAATGCTTGTTCCATCCTTTCCTCCATTTGTTTGAATAATCGAGAGTTGACTGTATATTTAACTGGTCTACTCAGCAAAAATTAAGTCAGGTTTGATTTTTTCTAAAATTCCTGCCTTTAAAAGAATGACAATATATCAGAAGTGCTTAATTTTAATCCAAGTGATTCAAAAACAAAGGGGTGTCAATTAAATATTATATAATAGGTTCTTTATTCACACTTACTTATAAATCAATATTTAAGAGATATGAGACTAATTCTAATTGACTTTTTAAAAATTATATAATATAAAAACCATAAATATGATACATTAAATAGTACGTAAATCTCTAATTACATGATATATGCCATTTTAATATCATTTGATGCTCCTTGGTTATAAATGAACATTAATACTTGCATCATGTAAGTATTATAAAAGTACACTGTTGGCCATTCTCTTTTTTTTATGGAATACATGTTTTGAGAATTTAGTATCTAACCTAACTTGTCCAGGCTTGAACATGTGGAAAAGCAATAGAAATGTAAAGCAAATAATCTATTCTAAAAACATGAAGAAAACCTCATACGCTACACTTAAGAAAACAAAGAACAGTGGTTAATATGCTGGCTATCAAACCAAGGAATAATCAAAAATGAAAGATAAAGATAATGGATGTTTCTGGCTTAGATGCAGAAAGAAATGACTGACAGAAAAAAATCCCAGCTTAGAGAGGTTATGCATTGAGTTGAAGAAAACAGCAATGTGTTTGGTCTCAGAAATGTTGAATTTCAGGTGATGATAGATACAATTCGAAAGGCACATGTAATCAGATAAAAAGAAAAAAGTGAGGATTAAAGGTACAGATTAAGGATCTCGAATAAGAATCAGTAAGGGAGCAGTAAGGAAGAGGACAGGCATAGAATATTGCCCCCTGAGGCTAGGAGCCTTCTAAATTTAAAGAAAAGCAGACAATGCAATTACAGAATATAGTTGAAGGAGCATAATTTTCAGGAGAGGGAGGAAATCATGGCTCTGCCTCTTACTGATGATCTGAACATAAACAATTTACTCAACCTTTTTAAGCCTTAATATTCTAATCAGTAAAAATCTTAGAAGGCTACTGTGAAGATACAAAAGTGCCTAGCATAGAACATAGCTAGTTTCCTGTGTCTTTTAGATAGCTCAAGGAGACAAAAATGGGAAAAGAGGACACTGGATTTGATGATTGGGAGAAAAACAAATAGTGACTTTCCAGAGGTCTCTTTCCAGAGAGTCATGGGGACTCACAAATCCATGCAGAAAGCTAAGGAAAGAGCTCAAGGTAAGGAAACTGAGCATAGACTACTCAACTGAAAAATGTATTAGTACCAAGGAGGAAAAAAATGGCAAAATTAACGGGCAAAAAGATAAAATAAATTTTTTCCCAACATAATTTTGACTTGTGCATGTCAGAAAACAAAAGAAAGAACATCAATGGAGAGAGAAAAAGACTGAAGTGCAAGAGAAAGAGGAGATAATGTGAGCAGCAAGGTAGAGAAAAGGGGAGCAGGGAAGGTGAGTTTATAGTGCTTTCTAAGCCTGGAGAGCAGGACAGCACTAATGGTTCAGAGACAGGTGTGTTAAGAGAGTGATAAAAGTAGAAAGCAGAGTGCACGTTGACTTTCTCCTTAGGACACACTATCTAGACTCTAGATTCTGGAGAGTTGGAAAAGAGAGCAAAGAAGTTGGATCTTCAAGCAAAATGGTAAAGATTTCTATCTTTCATAAGGAATCCACAAGGAATAAACAAAAGGAGTGCCAAGCAGCAATGAGAACCCAGGTGAAGTTATTGTGAATTCATCCCATTTCAGGTTAAGGTTTTCTTTATCAGAACAGATATTTTCAGTGACTCAAGAAAATAAAATCAAGAAATTTTGTAAAGTACTTTCCATAGAGTGTGCCACTAAAATCTGTTATGCAAATGAGAGAACCAAGATTTATACAATCAAATCAGAGTGCTGAGCTGTTCTGATGTAATTTGTGTTTGTAAGGTGACAAACACATAATTAAAAAAAAACATAAACAAATAGCTAAAACTAATATTAAAAAGGAATTTAGAATGAAGAAAAAGATGTGTTGGAGAGTCACCTATATAACGCATCCCTCTGTTTATTAATTCCTGTAAGAATGGCTCTTTCCACAGAATTCATGTTTTACGATATAGCTACTTTGTTTCCTTCTATTACATAAGTACCCATGTTTTCCTCCCTTCTTTTAATAAAGCTTATTTAAAAAGAAATCAAACCACTCTTATCCAGTGTGCCTCAAAAGCAAAATCTACCATACATATGTTCAGAACCAGAAAATATATATGTGGGAACATAGTGAACTCTAGAAAACTAGGTATACAAAGCCAAATGGAAAAGTGCAGAATGTTGCTATCAACCTAAAACTACTCTAAAAAAAAAATTAAAGTCTTAATTAAAAACAAAAAGTGCTGACTGTTGGTACTCAAAGTACTGGCTATTGGCACAAGAACTTGGTAAAAATATTGTGTAACACTTTGTCAATAAAATATATCACTAATAAAACAAAGCTGTGGCATACTAGGTTGTATCCTTAATTTGTTTTCCTAAAGAACAGCTTAGAAAATAAATTTAGTAAAAATTTTGATATAGCTAGTTTTGTTCAAATTTGCCATTGTATACAATGTAAAAATACAGTACTGTGGCTACTATTTTTCAGGTAGTAAACCTGTTTATACTAGCACTATATAATAGAAAGCAAACTGGACACTGTATATAATTTTCTTTTTAAAAGGAAAATTGAAGACTTTTAAAATAACAAGCCTTAAATGTTAACAATATTTATAAAACAAAACAGTTCAATCTGTATTTCTAATTTTTCTTTCAATAATGAGACTACTATATTAATATTCAAGCATACATTTTAACCACAGTGAAATGAACAACTGAATGTAACAATTTCACACCACAAGTAATGTAAAAATTAGAATAACAATATGTTATGAAAATTTTTACTTTCTTAATTATTTCTAATAAATAATCAGCACATCAGAGGACAGCCCTCCACAGATCACATGGGAATGCTTTCAGAATTGCAATGAAAAATTTTAAATCTATTAATTTTTATTCAGTCTAGCAGTTCTCATTCTCCCTATTTAATCATAGAACATGTGCTCTATAGTTAAGGAAAATAAACCACATAGAACTTGAAGAGGTATAATTCATCTAGGGACATGTAATCAGCAAATAAAAATCAACACCTTGGTTTTTAGCTGAAGCGAAATAAATGCAGAAGATTTCTAAATGGTTAAGTTTAAGACTAGGTATCTATTATTTTATCCTGTCATTTAATTTCTCTACCTACTAACTTTTGTCATATTTCTTCCCTTCTTTAAGTTTTCAAGCCTCGCTCCTACGTATAACACCAACTTTATCACTTATTTCAGAAATGTCACACAATCCTTTTATTCATGGTAATTTAAGCTACTCATACATATAATTGT